TATTTGTCTGTCTTTCTCTGTTTATATTTAACTTTCAATGTCTTCAATGTTCAGTCTCATGTTTTCTGTATTTTTATACTTATTTATTTTTAGATTTAAGACTTCCGCCTGGGGCTAAATGATTTTCTGTCTTTGCTTTTTTTTTTGTATTCTCAAGAAATTATCCCAGTTTACATGCAGAATTTATTCCCGCCGTGGGATCGTCTAGTCAGAAACCCTGTTCTACTCCAGACCATAGCAGCACAAATTTGAACACGGGGCGGCAAGCTTGGCCGACTCCCACCGTGTTGGACCCCTCGTCGGCTCCGCAGGTTAGACATCGTTGGACGGCTCTGCACGAGAGCCTGAGAGTTGCGACGAGCTACCAGAGTCGCTTGCGAAAATTCAGTTGACGGGGGGCGTGACGAGTTGAGGAGGGAGACAGGTTCATTCAACCTGAGGATAGGACCTGGGCCGGGCCAGCTTTTCCAGTCGATTCGAAGCCACCGCGGTCTTGGCCCGCTCGGAGACCTGCATACATTGCGAGTGAGGAGCCCACGCGGCGTGCGTTGTCGTTGCCTATCCCGCTATCGACAGGCGCTCGGCAGAGGAGGGGGAGGGCTGATCGACCCTTACCTTGAACGGATCCCACTGACTGTCTTCGGATTTACTTCGGTACCGCTCAGACGGTGTGCTGAGGACTTCCAACCTCGGCAACAACCTCTTGTAAGGCACGCTCTTCCTCTCCTGGGTTCGCATGCGGGAGAATAACGCCGTGTGATACGAATAGTACTTTTTAAGCGATCCCAGATTTGGGTGATGCTCTCCTGCGGAGCTGGACGCACCGGTACGCGCTGGTACACGGTGAAGTCACGCTTGGGCCGGGACCTTGCCGCCTCCCAGTGCTGGCGCTCCTCCTTGCTCAGCGACCTCTGCGACAACCCCGTCCCGGAGCCCGGCCCCGCGGGGCCCACACCGCCGGGGGTTCCAGGGCCGCCAGGGAACGGCTCGAACGGCATCCTGGCAAAGCGTTCGCGGGCATGAAAATGAAGACGCACACACTGCGTGCCCCGGCAGCTGCCAGCACTGGCACCAAGCTCACGCACTGCGTATGCTGCTGCTGGTAGAACTGGCGCATGTCTGAGGCGCGCGGCCCGAGGGCGAGCTCGGCGTACGAAGTCCCCAGCGTGTCCACGATGCGGCTGCGCATCCGCTCCTTGAAGGGCCCGCCCAGGCTCTCCTGCATCGCCACCGTCAGCCCGACCATGTACCTGCGGAGGACCGCGGGACCAGTTAGTGACGCCGGCACCACCGGGACCGGAGGGAGGGAGGCAGGGGTTACTCACGTGACCTTCGGGTGAGACATCTCCACAATGCGGGGGGAGGGTCTGGCCTTGAGGGCACTCCTCGACACCGACCCGATCTCCCTGAACAAGAAGTGCGTCTCGCACGGGCTGCAGTAGGAAGAGGCTTCCATACTCACATACACCCTCGCCTACCCTACTTACACCAAGCTCGCCGGTTGCGTCGTGTAGCCAACCCTGGGGTATGCCAGCTCTTCGACCCTCGGCGAGCACACGGCCTTCTTGGTGCTGCCGCGGATCGGCCAGATGGGTACCTGTCGGGTGATGTTACACCGTGACGTCAAGACAAGGAACAACACCCCCATACCCCCTCCAGAGGCGCTCATCCAAACCATAAAATATGCAAAATTTCGGCACAGAAAATTTTCGCGCGCCTTTCTCGGTGTCTCGGTGGTATGCACATTTTGTGCTTCAGCTGCTACTGACCGGCCCCAGCATGAGGTTGGGCTGCGGCCCCTGGGGGAGGCTGCGGTCGTGCCGGAAGTTGGGCGCGGCCAGCAGGTCCCGATGCTGTCGGCGCGACAGCAGCGCCCGGCCCGTCACCACCCGCGGGAGGAAGTGCTGGGGCTTCCATTCCCGCATCTCCCGCCGGCCCGGGCCGCCCCAACCTGCGAGCAGCGCGCCCCGCCGTGACCACCCGTGACCCCACGCCCACCCGCCGCCGGCCCAGCGGGCCCCGCCCGCCCCGCGTCACGCAGCACCGCCACGTTACCTTAGTCTCATAACACTTCGACTTCTAGGAGGCCGTCCTTCGCCCTCCCCCTTCCTTCCCGCATCTTCCGCTTCTCTTCCGCTTCATTTCTTCGCTTCGTGCTTCCCACCCCTTTCGTATTTTTTTCACATTTTTTCTTTGTGATTTTCCATGATGAGCGAAAGACCCCTCCGCCCGCGGCGTCTCCGCGGCGAAAGGTTCGACAATGGCACCCCCACCCCACGCCTCCGGCGGGCTGCAGATTTGAATTTGCCGCGCTTCTCACGGCAAATACTGTAATTACAGCCGGCTAGCTTAAACTTGGTTGGGGACAGACTTATGGTCCTCGTTCAGGCCGTGCAGTATGCTATTAGCATTGCAGAAATACTTGTGCCCCTTCCTTCTCCCCGCCACTTGAGCCTCGTACATCAGCCGCAGCAGCAGGGCGTGGTCGGGAGCGGGACTACGGAGCACGGTTTACACTTTGCGACACCAACCCGCGAGCATTTGGTCGAGCTCGGCGATGAGCATTAAGCAGCCCTTGAGCCAAGTCCACGGGTAATATCTGACAGGGTGATCCAGTAAGTGCGTCCGTTTTACGAAACTGCCAAGCTCCAGCCCAGCCTCTGCAAGCTCTCGTAGCGCCTGGTAGGTAGGCAACATCTTGCCTGCAGTGCATGCGTGTACTGCGGGGCGGCCTACCCCGAGTCTCGCAGGCGTCCGGCTCCCGTAATTCGCAAAATAAATTTAAGGAAAACTTCCGGACGTGCTTTCTTCTGGACGATCCGCATTGCTTGAGCACGGACCCCTTCTGAATACGCCCTCATCGGAACACCTCCGTCAGTACTTTTTTTGTTCGCGCACTGGTACCCATCCTATGTAGGGCGGCTGGCAGCGGGGCGCCGCGCCGAGGGGGGCGCCGCCGAAATACTCCGGAACATCCGGAAGCACTTTGCAGAGCCAATCGGTGGCTGCTGCAGCTGCTGCCGGGCGCGGCCATCAGTACCCGTCAGAGAGGCGACGGTGGCGGGGTGGGCGCGGCGCGCGGAGGCGGGGCGGGCGGACGGACGCACGGACGCACGGACAAACAGCCGACAAAACGGCACCACGCCGACGTCAAACTGTTAATTACTTTGTAGGGGCCATAGCCTTATTGAAAGAAAATGAAAAGAAAGAAAAATGTTTGGAGGGTATGAGCGATCCTGCTCCGTGTAATGAGTACCACAACCGCCCTCACTCTTTTCAAGTTGGTTTCAAGACCGTTCTTGTCCTCTATATTATCAGTGCGCGTATTCGGCGGTGGTGGAGGCCAGCAGGACAAGGAGGTATGGTGGGGGTAGGAGAGGAGAAAAGTGTGGGGAGAGGGGGGGGGGATAAAAAGGCAACAGCCAGCAGCTCCTTGATTAATGGGTGGACCATTTAGAGGAGCTGCGCTGCGGCGGCCGCGACGGCCAGTGCATTGAATTATGAAGAGGGACCGCGCGGTGCCCCCTAAACCCACCGCCACCCGCGCCTCGCCCCGCTCCACCCCGCCCCGCCCCACACCGGCCCTCCAGGCCAAGCCACGGTCCCACTCCGAGTTAGCAACGTCACGTCTTAGTGGGCCCCATAGTCACGCGGCCGCGCTCTGCGCCTC